GGTGTTTCAGAAGCGACCGAGCGCATTGCTGCGGAGCTAGGTGTTGGAATTGCACACCGCCACAAAGCCACCATGCGCAGGCGGGTCATTAAAATTAAAGACCGGTTAAAACCTGAAGAGCAATCTGGAGAAGTGTATCGCATTCCGTGTCGAAATTGTCCTTGTAATTGTATAGGACAGACTGGACGCATGCTCGGATCGCGCATACACGAACATAAGCTGGCTGTACGGCGAGGCGACGCACTATCACAAGTGGCCGCCCACACCTACGAAATGGGTCACGAGTTTGACTTCGCAGCCACCAAAATAGTTGCCCACGCCGGAAACAAGACAGGCCGTGAATTGATTGAAGCCCGGGCCTCGGATGAGAACTCGGTCAATCGATTTATCGATCTGGCGCCGGCGTACAGAGGCATTCGTATTCACCTCCAGTCGCGCGAGGTCGGTCGATGATTGGGCCTACGTGCCTGATAATAAACGCATTGCTCCGGTGCTCGACTCTTCTTCTTCACTTAGAAATAATTTCGTCTAAGCTTTCGAAAGCAGAGAACGCATATGAGATACAAATGCTACCGTGAGCATTTAAAAATAATAACAATTTTGACGAATTATTACACATGTGTCACTACAAATAATTTGTAAGACTATCAGATAACTGTTTTCGATTTGACACCTATTTTGTAAGCAAGCACAAATGAATCTTTGAAGCGAAATCTTTCATCGGATTCGGAACTCTGCTGTACCTACTCAACCGATTCTCGGTGCTGTCTTAATCACCTGCAGTAACATGACGATGAGGCTTCATTTTGCCAACAAAGCTCTATTCAAAGAATGAGCTTATATGTCCGCAGGTGAGATTAAAGCAACTGCTATGATTAGCAAGACGCGTAGGCCTAACTCAAGGATGAATAAATGTGACTCGGTTTCCAGCGTTCTCATCTCAAGTGCAGCATCAAGTGGACTGCAGGCGAGATGAAAGAAACTGCTGTCGCTCGCAAGCAAAGCAAGCCTTGCTGAAGGATGATTAGCTGTGGCTCGGTTTGTTACTGACGAGGTCATTAATGGTCTCTTGTAAGCTTGCTTTCTCGACTTTGCCCATAAAAGCTTTTGCAAGCAATAGTCCAAGCGGTGATCCCATTGCCACACCATCTACCTGCCGGTATAGTTGACCATTGCGCAGAAAGTGGACATTTTGTTTGCAAAGCGACAGTAGTTAATTTACTGTTTACGAAGGCATGTCTATGGGGTAGTTCGTATCGCGAATAACATCACAAAGATAGTTTATTGTTTCTGCCACGGGTACGTTGGTAAACAGCGGCGAAACGCACCTCGGGAAAACGGATGCCCAAATAGATTTATCCTCCTAAATATTGGGGAACGCGCCGGATGTTGTTTGCATACTTTCAAAATTGCGTTATTTATGCCAATGGAAATCCGCCCTCTGAATGTGAAAATGTGTCGTTGGTGTCTGAGGACGTCGTAAACGTCAAAGTAAACGCATGGACGAACAATATTCACAAGTATGGACCTGTCGAATGGTGGAAGTGTCGACGACAGAAGGAATCCCAAATCAGAATTCCGGGTAGGGCAATTTTACTGACGTTTGAGAAAGTACAAGTGGCTGTGCAAGCCGTTGCCGCAAGCTGTCTTGTCGAAATTTGGTGTGGTCGACAAAACAAAGACTCCCAATCAAAAGTCAGGGAAAACGATTTGAGTTGGACCATTTACTATTTTGGAAGTGCGTACACAAAAGCTCTGTAGGCAGTCGCCGCGAGAACGCTCCAAGCAAGTTGTTGTCTGGGAGCAAGTCACATGCGAAATTGTTAGGCAGGCTTTTGGTCTTTGCCAGTTACTTATGCCTATTTTAGGATCAGATGACGGAATGGTGCATATAATCTACTGGTGTCGAGGAGACAGAATGATGTTAATTCTGATGATTCCATCTACACCACACTCGGCACTACCAAGGCGTGTTAAAACCACTGGCTTGGGAGGCTGCGAATTTAGGGAATAATTTGGTCCCCTCAGAGCAGAAATTCAGGTTGTAATGGCTCCTTCAGAATGTTACCTCTGAGACACTATCACTTAGTTGGAATCCGGGATCGCACACCTTCCTTTTTTAAAGTGAGACCATGATCCTTTTGGTTATCGAAGTCCAGACTCTCAACCGGCATTATGTTTTCCCGCGTCGTCAAATACCGCATTGTCTTCCTCGCCGGGGACAGACGTACTGGGAGTATTGTTAATCATAATAACATCCGATAGCAATGTACACCGATAGACGTAATAATACATGGATGAACAGTTATTTGGTGGGTATGCCAACAAGTAAAATACTTCCAGTACAAAACCAGCACCTGAAATTTTATGCATTGAGAAGTGGTCCAAATGTTCCTATTTCCCTGGGAAAACGATGACGTAAGTGGATATTTCACTGTGAAAAAATTCAACAATTCATATGAATGCATTCCTGTCAAGCGGTCGTTGGGGGTGCCTACACCCTCCACGGTTTAGTGCCATGTTCTATTGCGTCTACCAGTACGATACGAGCCACCACCTGCTTAAAAATGAACACCAGGGAACTAAGCACATGGCCTACCGAAAAAGTAAGGATCCCATTCCACATATATCTCAGAAAGCATAAGGCCAATAAATTTATCAGCTTACACGGGGTACATCGTGAACGAAAGAATTTAAAATGACCGCTCGGTTTACAATTTATGAACGAGCATGTTGCCTAGCCGATTTGTAATCCAGGGGCGTGATCTGAACATACGGTTGCTTCCCTTGCAAAAACAGAGAATGGAGACTGTGTTTCTCCTTCAAAGTCCATTCTCTTTTACTTAACACTCAGTGCCAAGTCTAGAATATTTAGACAATTGCATAT